GTATTTGAGGGAAAATCAAACTACGAAATTAGTTGCGTCGTCATTGATTTTCACAATGAAGAAACAGAAATGATCACAAAAAATATGCACATTTTATTACAATATTGATTACGTACCATCAGAATTTATGAAATTAAAAACATTTGAGTCTGTTGGAACACAGTCGAAGTCAAAATTGTCGTATTATTTCCACTGACGAAAGTGTTGGAACGTACGCAAATTCTCGATGTAAATCACTTTCCGCCATGATGCATTTGCAGATTTGACCTGCAGCAGCGTCCTTTGACCTAATGGGTCAAGTTGGTTATTAACCAATCAGAATGCTGTGTTGTACCAAAGACACTAGAGAAGACTAGTGTCTTTGGTTGTACTGACGCAATTCTTTGGAAATTCCGGTAACGCAATGCGGAAGTGAATTATCGATGTCGAGTACGATCTGTTGGAATTGATTTCAGCAAATAAACGACATGGTTTTTCCAAAAAACTAGTAACTAGCCATTTTTGAAAGGTAAACTGAATATGGCATGAAATATTTACCGCATTTTACTTGTATTAACAGGTCATTGTCGAAGCGTAGTTTACACAAGGTTACCGTGTTCTGCGCATACACAACATGTTCACAGCAGTCGATATCCACGCTGTATCATATCAAAACGATTACCAAGATTCGTTACGCAAGACAAAGTTTTAAATTAGTTGCATTTTGAAGAGGTGGGCGCTTTGCCGAATGTGACCCCAAATATAAAAATTGCGCAAAAGTTGGGGGTGGGCGCTAACGCGGTCGAGTACGGTAGTTACACTCATTACTCTTTATAATTCAATACACAGGTTGATAACCAACAAGTCATTCATTGCCGTGAGACTATTGTCAGCGTACTGATGGGACATCCGGCCGTGAACACAGTTTATATGATGCAACAACAGCAGAAAAGCGATCACCACGGAGTACACAAGAAGAGGAAGACGACAATCAAGCGGAAAGTGGAGCAAATTGAGGTGGATGAAATATACGATAGCATAAAACGCCTATATAATGAAGAAGCGCCCCAAGATGTGATGATGGTATCAGCGCCGTCCACACCCAAATCATGCCATAGACAACAGCAGCAGGACAGTACAGAGGGTACCATGAACACCTGCCCCCCTCTGCAAATAATTGAAGTGTCTTGACGCCACTCACACCTGCCGTTTGAATCACAGTATGTTCAATTAGCAGGATGAGTTCATTTATTTCTTAGGGGTGGCAGGTTTGGTGACTGACAGGGAAATAAGCCGTAAATTATTATAGATTATTAGGAAAATGTTTTACATAATTTATTCGCTTGAGACTTGTGATCTGTTTAGTATAGTGCTAGCACTTTGAGGGTTGGGCAATGTCAAAGGCACTAATTACACAAAACAAAAATGCTGAACAAACTAAAATGTAAGTTATCATTTTTTTCTTTTTTTTTGACTGGCTCTAATCTTTCATTGGGTCGGTTTCCATGGAAACCAGCCCCAATCTGTGCAAGAAGTAGTCGCAGTTTCTTTCTTGCCACATTTTTAAGTTGCATTTTTTCTTTACAAAATAAGCAATACCGCAAAAAGAAACAAAAAGACCTTAAAAGAAACAAAAAAACTTAACAAGTAACTAAATAAAATGAAAAAAAAAATGGAAAAAGAAAACTAAACTTAAAAAAAAAAAAAAAAAAAAACATGAAAGAAATGCAAAAAAGTTGAGCCGGTGCTATATGTAAAACACTAGTGTATTTATGTTTTTAAAAGTTTGCGTTCAGCAAAAAAAAAACACTGCATGTTATATATGTATACTTTTGTTTTTTACTCATGTATAATATTGTAAATATGGTGCCTCATAATCTTAAGTTATGTAACTATGTACAGAAACAAACCAAAAAAAAAAAGTTTTATTTTTTATGAGCATTTGTCAGTATTTTATGTGATAATTATTTTTGACTTATTTGTTGTCATGTGACAATTCAGCACTAATTTATTGTATACATGTGTAAGCTTGTCTCGATTTGAAATGTTAGTTTTTGCAGTTGTATATTGCATAGGGTTGGCAAGTATCATGTAATAGATTGTGTTGTGTGAGATGATGTCGTCATTTTCACATGTAAATATAAGCATTGGCACTAGAAATAACATGAATGTGTTTCCATGGTAAACATCAAATAATACTGACAGATATTTTTTTATCATCTGTTGAACAGCGTGTTTTTATTCAGTGTGTCACATTTTACTCAGTAACTCATATAATGTTCTCCAAATTGTGATATTTTCATCAGTGCTTTATTGTTCAGACATTTGGTAAATCAAAATGTAATTAATTTTAAAAAGCCTCCTATTCTTTTTATGCGAGTGCACTTGATGTTAAAAATTCATCTTGAACACATCTATTCATACCTCAAACATTATGCTTGTATATTGATCGTTGGCTGTCAACGTGTGAATTACAAAAGTGTATTCAACATTTAATGTTCAGATTCAAGGATGTGAAGTAAATTTCACAGTTGCATGTCCATGTTATTCTAGTATCTGCGATGGTACTCACCTAAGTTTCATTTGGGATCGTGGTATCATGTCAACACACTTATGCAAGTTAAAAACTCTGTGATGTGCATCTGCTTTTCGCTGTGTTTCTATCATATGTAAAGTTTTGTCATATTTAGTTTTACGTATGCTGTAACAAAACACTGCATCTCTGTCTGTATTACACAAAACAAATGAATGCCACTCAGTCTCTATGATACTGCATTAATCTCTTAAATGAGATTACATTATGCGTTTCCAATGTTTTCGGTACATTGGACGTTGATATTCGCCGAGACGTTTGAACGTCGTTCTGAAATACAATTAATCGTACACATTCCAAGAGTTGGCGTTGTGAAGACCTCTTTGTTTAGAACAATGTTATCAAACAGCAAGTCATTAGTAACTAATTTTTAATTGATTGTGATTAGATGTATTATTGTACATGTCACATGGTTATTTTAGTCCAGCACTTTTATTAATGTAAAGCAATAACATTTTAAGAAACAAAACATATTGCTGGTTGCATACCAGTACACGTACTATTGAAGTTCCTTTTAAGTTAGATTTCGTGGTAACATTTTTTTAAACTTTGCATTTTTTGTAAACTTTGTGTGGTTTTAGTTCTTACCCGGTACTTGCCATTTTCATCATAATTGTGCTTTGTTTCATCACTATTTGTCTATCTTTTTTTAAAAATCAATATGCCAGTGTTGTGTGATGATCTTTATTTCACATCAAGTTTTAATTTTATTCAGCCATTGTTGGCTCAGGGAGCGAGATTCAAACTATGCAGATTGGGACGTTGAAAGGAAAACCGCTTACAAAGTGATTTTTCAGAAATAACTGTCTGTCGAAACTCTTATTATATTCATTTAAACTTAAGCAACAAACTAATCGTTTATTGCAAAACTTGTCATTTACTGCTTTAATCGAAGAAAACGTTTCCGACTGACTGCAAGTCTTGAGATGTCACCGATAATACTACACATGAATGACTGTTATTTGTATTGATATATATTATTTGCTGTGGGCATTTCATCTACTATTATACATGCCTTACAAGAACTGCTGACTGCCATATAATCAGAGGTCATTACTCCCAGTACTAGAGCCATGAGGCGCTTTCCTCATGACGAGTTTATGAAAAACCCAGAATAAATAACCTGTGCTGTGCAGAGGCATTTTTTTTGGGAAGAACATATTTTATTCAATCATTTTAGTCTTCAGTGTGATTGTCTTGATTTCCGATGATTAACTGTTGATGTATAAATAAACATTGACTGTGATTAAAAATAATGCCTGTATTATGTTATTTTTTTTTTTTTGAGCCTTAAACTTGAATGGTCATTGTCCATATTACAATTATAGTGCATTATGGGATTGTTATGTTAGGTTGCACGGGTCAACTTCCTTTGTGATTAGCGAAGGTGTGTTCAACCATTGTTCTATCCCACAATTCATTATGATTTGGAATTGCGATATGGTCTATGTTGCCATTGTGTGTGTGAATATTTTTGTAGATAAGTACACATTCCACTCGATGTATAATGCTCCAGTCTAGAAACTATGCTGTGTTCTACCTGTTATGTCTCCCTGCCTATAATTGAGTGCTA